GGTGGGGGATGTGTGTCGGCGGAGAGGATGGAGGGTAGTAGAGGTTGACGTGGTTGTAGGAGGTGTTTTGTTGCCAAGAAGAAGAGGGAAGACGAGACCGCGCCTCGGCGTGGGGGTGCGGAGTGGGTAAAAAAAAACAAGAATACAACCTTTATACTGTACAATCGGGAGAGTTCTTTCCTACATCAGACTTCGACAACTCGTTCCCGCCACTCACAACATCATTCACCTTTGCATCAGGTTGTGCCGAACAGTAGAGAATTGTGAACCCAGACTTTCCTACCGAGGTCTTGAACTCCGTCCCTAGTTCCTGTTTTCCTGGGGGCCGAGACGTTAATAGCCCAGGTACATGTCTTCCCAGCTACCGCTTGGTAGCGTTGGGCGAGTTCAGAACTCCTGGCTGGACCTCGGGTGGTGTCCGCGCATGGGGCGCTGATTGCTGTAGAAAGTATGTTTACGTGCTTGACCACCATCCAGCGTTCCGTCAACGAAGGGACGATTGTGCAAATATCTACTTCAGCTAACTCCAATAACAGTGACATGACCCCAATGGGTGTCGGGAGAGGGGGCCTTTGCACAAAAGTCTTCAGTACATCAATTACAGCTTATAACCCAGTAGCCTTCACAACCAGCAGCACGAATTCCATCGGGGAAACCACAACCTACATTGATTCCTTGGACCGCAGCGCAACGGACAATGCCACCATCCTCAGCTCGGGAACCATGACAATGGCCGCCATGGTAGTCTACTGGCAAGAATCCGATCTCGAAAAGTTCGATCCCGAGTACGCAGCGACATTAGCGGATCACCTGTCCATTGGCTTTACTCCCACAGCTACCTCGGACGTTACGTCTGAAACGGCGACACCGCCTAATCGTAGTAAACTTTCGTCCGAAACATCGAATCTTGGTGAGGCTATAGGAGGATCAAAAGGTTCTGGTCTCAGTAGTGGGTCGAAGGCGGGTATAGGCGTGGGAGTAGGACTTGGAACGCTATTGGTGGCTTTAGCGGGGTTTTTACTTTACAAAAGGAGGGTGGGTAGACGAGAGAAGAAGCTTGATAGGAATTCTGCGATTCAGAATCAACAACCCGAATTTTTGCAGAGGGATCCGCAGATGCAGACGGCATAACGGATGGGATAAATCGTAATCAGGGGGGTTATCGAAGCGAGGTTCTCTAATAGTAATGCTAAGGGATAGATCAAGCCAGCACGACGGCCAATTGTAAGCGAGTTTTGACTGTGCCGCGAGAGGCTGCGCCTCTGCAATCTGCGAAAAGTGATGAAGGAGACACAAAGGAATTGAACTTTGGCATTGTGGTACTGTAGGGAACTCAGCTCGGCGACCAACGATTGGTATCTTCGGCGATGTGTATCCCTTGCGTATATACGGCACAGTCGTCCTTGCGAATGCGACACCAACTGCTGATGTCGGTGACAGATTTAGAGCGTGCCGGAACCGACGCGTCGCGTCTGATCTACCTGGGTTTGGAGACAGTACCCATACTTGAGGTGTCGCCTCCCAAATCAACGCCATGAAAGCCTTGTCTTGATCTTTGCCACCTCGACAGCCTCCTGCTCACCATGGCGGGCATCTCCAATGTCTATCATAACATCACGGTCCTCGGTTCGAACAAATTCTACCCAACGCACAATGTCTGGTCGGCCCTCACAACCCCGTTTACGTTCGCTCCTCACTGTACTGATAACTGGCGGGTCAGGAATGTCTTGTCACAACCTAGCGATGTTGTTCCGAGACTTACGCTGTCGATTCCGTCGACTTGTCAAACTTCCCGGCGGACAAGCTATTTATAGTCCTGGGACTTGCCTGCCCGGGTTCACCATGATCGACTTGACAGAGTACAGAACACCAACTTGGACCACCGGTGGTGTTCGCGCATGGGGAGCGCATTGTTGCAAAGAGTATGTTTTACCTTGATTTAGATCTGCCTAGTCAGCCCCGAATGGCAAGAAAACTGTACGTATACTGTTACTGACCATGATATCCTGACAGAGGATTTATATCATCCTTGGGAGCGTGTATGTCCAGCTTCACCACGCCCCTCACTGCATACAATCCAGAACAAGTCGGCGGCGAAACCACCTCTGACGGCAGCGTTTGGTTCTTTGTGACCAGCGATTCGGACTCGAGGAATAATTCTACCGTGATCAGTACGGGTGTCGCGCAGATGAACGCGATGCTCGTTTACTGGCAGGAGTCGGATCTTGAGAATTTTGACACGGGGTATGCGTCGGAGCTTGCTGAGGCGTTATTGCCGAGTAATACGTTTGCGCCTTCTGTCACGACGACGGCGGGAACCATATTGGGATTGCAAAGCGGAACAGCAGTACCGCCAGATCGCAGCCAGCTCGTCTCAGCGACAGTGGATCCCAAATCGAATGCAGAGCAAGCAGACCGTCCTTCGATATCTGGCCTCAGTACTGGGGTCAAAGTAGGTATAGCCGTGGGAGTAGGCATCGGCGTGGTGCTATTGTTCTTTATCGGGTTCTTACTTTATAAAAGAGTATCGATACTTCACCGCAAGGCGAGACTGGATCACGAAACGGCCAAACAGAATGAACAGCCTGAGTTCGTTCCTGTAAAAGATGGGGATAACAAAGATGAGGCATACACCCCACTCCCTTCTAGCGATGCGAGATGGTCGGTGTTTTTGAGGAAGCAATGACGCAAGAGTGCACGAGATGTATGGCGTTGTTGGGCCGACTTGGGAGTTATGCCATGTTCAATCCGCTTGGATTTATGAGCTCGGTTAGCAGGTCAATTACGTGTCTATCTTCCCGGCGCGTCAAATAGCACGCTGTTGTATACTATCTCCTGGTAAATACCGTCGACATGCAGCTACTGCATCTGCTCACCAATCGATGCGCGCACCTAGCATCATGCCTGACATCGGAGCAATACTAGCCCACCAGCAACGCCGCATATACCAGCAAACCGAGCACGCAGCCACTTGAACCTTGAATGGCGTAATATAGCGCGGCATGCTCACCATGCGCTTCCCGCAGTCGTTTAGTGTGCTGATCTCCCGTCGCAGCACGCGCGCATCGTCTGATTGGTTTGTGTAAATGCTACTCTCCTGATGTTCAACCTAGCCTTCGCACATGTTATCGTGTTCAATGTCAAAGGCTACTTGTCGTTACGATAAAGTGCTTACCGTCGTTACTATTCAGCGAGATCGTCTACGTCATCACACTAGCACTAATCCGCATTAGGCTTACAACGAAACGCCTTCTGAAGCGCGAGAAGCCGGAAGCAACATGGGGCCTAAAAGCCGCGATAGCTTTCCAATACGTGTTTTGTAGCTTGCTCCGAGTAGAAATCTCCCTCGCCATTTCAATTAATACCCGACTTTGCACAAAAAGCAAGGGGCTGCTGTCGCGACCAAACTTACGCCCACCATGAACTACATCTCAAGTAAACCACGCATCCACTAAAACCCCAAGCCACATGGTGCCGTACCCTAACACGCTGTTAAACAGACCTCGTCAACTCAGATGGCATAATCAACCCCCTCATCGACAACGGCTACCTGCCCCATGCCGCCATCCGCCTAGGCATCCGGCGCCAGCTAGCCGACCGCCTCTCCTCCATTGCCACGACCTCGCTGGAAGCAGGCTACGAGTCGAAAATGCAGTATGTGGAGCTGCTGCGCCAACGGCCCATTGCGATTGAGACGGCAAAGGCAAATGATCAGCATTATGAAGTTGGCACGCAGGTTTTAAAGGGTATGTTGGGCCCGAGGATGAAGTATTCGGCTTGTTTGTATGAGAAGGGTGGGGAGACGTTGGGGGAGGCGGAGGTGAGGATGATGGAGTTGTATGTTAAGAGGGCGGGGTTGAAGGATGGGATGACGGTGTTGGATTTGGGGTAAGTGGTTCTCTCTCTTTTCTTTGGATTCTTTGTGGTTCCTGATTCATCTTTCGTTGTGTTTTGGATATGGGCGGTATGGGGCATGTCACGTGTCCACCACATTCCACCTAGCATGCGAAACCAACTTCTCTTTTCTTCGAAGAGACATAAGGACTGACAGTATCCTAGCTGCGGCTGGGGCTCCCTATCGCTCTACCTCGCCGAAATCTTCCCCAACAGCTCCATAACCGGCTTCTCCAACTCGCGCACGCAAAAACAGCACATTGACTCGGTCGCTACGGCCAAAGGCTTCAAGAACCTGCGCATCGTAACCGGCGACGTCGTGGACCACGAATTCGAGCCGGAAAAGTACGACCGCGTCCTTTCCATTGAGCTCTTTGAGCACATGAAGAACTACTCGCTGCTCATGGCCAAGGTCAGCCGCGCTCTCAAACCAGGCGGTAAGTTGTTTGTGCATATTTTTGCGCACAAGGATACGCCGTATGACTTTGAAGGCGGGTGGATGACGGAGCACTTCTTCACGGGCGGCACGATGCCGAGTGCTGATTTGCTTCTCTTCTTCCAAGATGATCTTAGGATTAAGAGGCAGTGGTGGGTTAGTGGCATGCACTATAGTAAGACGTGTGAGGATTGGTTGACGACTATGCTGAGCAACAAGGAGAGTATTTGGAAGGGGCTGGAGGAGACGTATGGTAAGGATGGTGCGTTGCCGTGGTGGAATAGGTGGCAGGTATTTTATCTGGCTTGCAGTGAGCTGTTTAGGTGGGATGGGGGTGATACGTGGGGTGTTAGTCATTATCTGTTTGAGAAGCCTGAATAAGCAGGAAAAGTTTGGATGAGAGAGGGATGGGAAGAATGAGTCGTCAGGGGGATGGCTGAAGGGTGTATAAATAGGTTGAGTAATATCTAATCTCACTCTCATCACATGTCGCGTTGAGTCACAATTGTTGTGGAGGAACTTTGGTGCGATTCGATGATTTCAGGACTTGGCAAGAAGCCGCGGTATCGAATGATGCCAGGCAGTGTGGTAGTCGCGTGATCGGGAGATGGACAGACGGTATGATGTTCTTCTGGAGTTCAGAGTTCTTGGCGCTGTCTGCGCGGATATTGCAGTCATCGGTTTGAGCCTGTTGTTCGCATTCCTTGGTATGTACCCCCGCCATGGTTACAGTATATTTTTCAATGTATCCATAGCTTCCCAAGCTCCCCTATCTTGCTCGTCGAGAGCTCAGTGGTCCCACGGGTGCTTCCAGCCCAGAAGCGCTGGTCCATCCTTCTTCGCGCGGTACATCAACTGCCATTGTTAGCGCCGTGCGTCCCCGCGTCTATCGATACCACGTACGAAGAACCACATGGAGGCGCCGAGGCCGGTAGCCATGAATCGGTACAGCGGTCGGACCGGGTGGATGTGGATGGGGTGGTTCGGCATCTGCGCATATTTGGGCGGGCCCATGCGGGCCAGTGTGGGTTGCATGGTGTTTGTGAGCCTGGGGACGTGTCAGCATCGCGGCATGTCTGCATTGTCTGGGCGGGGCGTCGTACCTGCAAGCTGTGTCGTGCAATGGCCGGTTGACGTCTCTGGTGAGTGAGGTGTGGTTAAGGTCGATCGGAATCTACGCTAGCGCTTCGGCGCCAAGGCTGGCATCACGACTGCGGATCGCGTTCTTCGCTGCTTCATCTGCGAACATTCCAACATCTACTATCATGTCTGCGCAATAGCCTCTGCTTTCCCATTCTCCATCCATGGCAGCGCACGCCATCGCAACCACACATCCTTGGTTGTATCTCATCGCCCGACTCGAAACATAGCGACAACGCGACTTCCTGCGGACAACTGCTCCGCGGACCACTTAGCAGCGACGACGAAGCGTAACGGCGAAGCCTCCATCACCAACACTAGTCACCGCCATCGCCGATATGGCCAACTCAGCGGGCGCAACGCCATCGCGCACCCTGCAGCGGCGCTTTAAGGGATGCAGCAAAATCGCCGACTATGAAATGATGAAGAAACTCGGAGAGGGTACTTTTGGTGAAGTCCACATGGCGCGGCAAAAGGCCACTGGCAGCATATTTGCGCTCAAGAAGATTTTGATGCACAACGAAAAGGACGGCTTCCCCATCACAGCGCTGCGAGAAATCAAGCTGCTGAAGATGCTGTCGCACGAAAACGTCCTAAAGCTCGAGGAGATGGCCGTGGAGCGACCCAAAGCTGAGGGCCGGAAACGCGCCATCTTATACATGGTGACGCCTTACATGGACCACGATCTGTCAGGCCTGCTCGACAACCCCGAAGTCCGGTTCCAAGAAGCGCAGATCAAGTGCTACATGCTGCAACTGTTCAAGGGCCTGCGTTATCTCCACGACAACCACATCCTACACCGAGACATGAAGGCCGCCAACCTTCTCATCAACAACCGTGGACGGCTACAGATAGCAGATTTCGGTCTCGCGCGCCATTACGACGAAGCGGTGCCGCAACGGGGCAGGGGCAATGGCGAAGCCAAGCGCGAGTACACTACACTGGTCGTTACCAGATGGTACCGGCCACCAGAGCTCCTCCTGCAGCTGAGGAAGTACACCCCAGCCATTGACATGTGGGGTGCAGGCTGCGTCTTTGGCGAGATGTTCAAGCGCAAGCCCATCCTCGCCGGCCAGAGCGATATCCACCAAGCGCAAATCATCTTCGAGCTCGTCGGCTCGCCAAACGACACGAGCATGCCCGGCTGGCACGAACTCCCTGGCGCAGACCCCATCCGCGCCTTCGCCCCAAGCACCGGCAACATTGCCCAGCGATTCCGCGAACTCTCGCCTGTCGGCCTCTCCCTGATAAAAGACCTTATGCGCCTCGACTGGCGCAAGAGAATCAACGCCATCGACGCAATCGACCACCCTTACTTCCGCGAATCCCCGCTCCCCATGCGCGAAGAAGACATTCCGCACTTTGCAGACTCGCACGAACTCGACCGACGGAATGCGCGCGGCCAGAAACAAGCACTCCCACCCGCTCCCCAAGGCGGCACCGTAGGCGGCGGACCAAACGGCGAGTGGACAGGTCAAGGGCCACCCCCGCAATCCTGGCAACAAAACGGCGATAGACGATACAATGGCGGGCCGCAGGACCGCGGGCCACCGGGCGTCGACAACAGAGGACCAAGAGGTGGCTACGATAGAAGAAACTACGAACACAGACCCCCGCCACCACCACCGGGAGGTGACAGACGTCCTAACTGGGGCAATGGTGCGGAGAGAGGACATAATGGATTACCCGCGCCGCCGGCAGATGGCAGACACCCGCTTCCTCCTGTCCCGCGATATGGGCCTGATGGCGTGGACAGGAGACGAGGGGGCCCCCATCAATCCGCTGGTGCTGCTGCTATTGCTGCGAATGCCAATGGCGGCGATACGTATATTCCTAGTTATGGCGCCGAAGGCCCGCCACGGCGCAGTAGGGAACCTGATGATAGGAATGTGAGACGGGGTTCGAGGGACTCGGGTAACTCGCGTGAAGGTGGTGGATATACGGACCCTCATCATCACCAGCAGCAGCGGAATCGTGGCGCGTATAGAGAGAGGCCGGATGGTTCCGGGAGGGGGTTTGCGGCGAGGGAGAGGGAGAGGAGGGATGGGAGGACGAGGAGTAGGAGGTGGCGCTTATACGAATG